AATTAACTTCAGATATTTTATATTTATAAAATTATATAAATTATATATTCATAATTTTAATTCGTAATTATAAAAAAGAATTATAAAACTTTAATTCCTTAAGATTAAATTCGGTTATTTGTCGTTATTCAAACACACATTTACAGGAAAAGGTATTTCCAAAATTTCAATTTTAAATTTAATCCGAATTTAAATTTATAATCAGAGCAAACTGTTCGATGAGAATATTATACTTCGCAAAATTCTTTACGATATTGGTGTCGACCATTCTGTAATTTTGAATATTTAAAAATACGTATGACCTAAGGAGAAATATTTCGAATTTTTATTTTTGTCATACGTCCACGTTACTCGACATTTTCAAATAGCCATACGTTCTAATAAACGTCGAAACGCGTTCTGCTTGTCCCTTCATGCATGCACGATGAGGATTTCAACGCTTGCATTATTCGATGACAAAATTCGACGATATAGAATGAAGCAAAGCTTACTACGAGACAACTTTCATTCGTTAAACATTGTAAATGAACAATATAATAATTAGCTTTGTACCAGAATTTTTAAGTAACAACAGACTGCTCGTGAGTAATAAGTGAAAAATGGAAAAAAGAATTAAAGATAACAGTATTTAAGAATAACTGTTTTTACTATTCACTCAGACTAATCATGAAGAAAATGGTGCACTAGAATACCCTAGATGAGCTTTTACAATTCGATCAGGCAACAAAAAAGGAAATATTATATTAATTTTTATGTAAATGTTGAGAAAAATGTATGACGAATTACAGAATTTATTTTGTTTATCACTAAAACGAGAACGATTGCACGAAATCGTGATAATTCAAATCCGATCGTGATTTGTCACTAGAACTACCAAACTAGTCAAGATGGCGGGTTCCATTTTATTTTTGCAATTACTAAAAATTGTGCAAGATATTTTGTAAAGATTGATATTAACTTTTATTGAGAAAGAAACGTAATCGTGTATGTGTATTTAGTTTCATTATACCACTTTAATTATATTCCACTGTATATATACCATTACTACCATTGGAGGTTGGTAATTCTAGTGGTAAATCGATAACGAATACGATTTTGTTTTTGTATATCATGAAAGAAAAGAGTATCAAAATTGTAAGAGGAAGGAAAGAGATAATGATGTTAATTTACATAGGGTTTCTAATTTATAATCAGACATACATTAACTTTGCAAATACGTATAAAATTTTATAAATATTTTATTTATAAATATACACGAAAAGAGTGTGTTTTTACCATAGAATGTATTATGTACAATGTAACACAAATTGGTCACAGGCCAATAATTAACGGTAAGAGGAAATCATTATTGCCATATGAATTTCTATTGCTAATTGAAGAAATCAAAATAACTCTTTCAAAATATTTTAATATTGCAATTTATAGCAAAATATTTTCAACAGAAAAAGAACACACGAATGAGTTAAAAAGATTGAAATAAAAAAATCCATATTAATTAAAAATCACGAAAAAGAATGCTCTTTTGCACCGTACAGTTCTCGTCCATTTTCCAATAAATCATGTTTCTCAAACCAAAGTTTCATACAAAAGGAATCGTAGAAATCGAGTCGCGAGACGAAAACCAACGTAAAATATCTAATATGCAGAGAATTGACGCTAGAACCTTGGGAATTTCATTCTCCCTAAAATTCCACTAGAGATCACTTTATCTCCTATTTTCTTAATTTTCTGCATATTTTTAACAAACTTTTCAAATATTCTTAAATTTCTTTGGTGTTATAAATAATTGAACATTTAATTACTTAATATTGCCTTAGGTTTAAGGATTGAATAATCGCTTATTCTATTTTAACAATTTCATTTAATATCCTACATGGCTGTGTTAGCCAAATATATCGAGACCAGATTTTCGAAATGCTTGAAATACAGGTATTTTGGCATATTGACAATAAAAATATACGAAATCTTATCCTCGAGACAGTTTCTAACCCTTTGCACTCAAGAGGCGACCCTCAGTCGCCATTTAATCATATTCTAAAAATCGACGTTAATTAATATATCAAATTTAAAATTACCCAACGATGCGTGGAATGTCGAAGTAAAATTATTCTACGTCTTAATTTGTATACGATTTCTTTTTTTTATTATTTACAATTATAAGTTCAAATATTTATTTATATCTCTTATTTTATTTTACTGTTTTAAAAATGTCGTCGACCTTATGTCAGGATATCTTCGAATTACAATTTTTCTGTAAGGAATAAATCGTCGAGTGCAAAGGGTTAATACCAAAACATAACCTGTTTTCGGTATAAATTTGATGTCAAAATAGTAGATACAAAATGTAACTAAACCTTATAAAGACCTTATAAAAATTGATTGCCAAATTAATACTGTATCATAACCAAATTCCAGAAAGAATTTACATCGATAAAGTATATGAAATTATTTCTTTCTGTTTATACTTCGCCATATTTCTCATAAATTAGTATATAGTACATTCATATTCCAAGATAAACAATTCAATTTCCATTGAATATCTGATATAATATATTAGACACGAAAAGTCACTAGATATCGTAAGAGTACCAACGTAGCGAAAAAAGAAGCCAGACCATTCAAAATGGCGTCCGACCCACGGTTCTAGCGTTAAGTCGCGCTTCGAATTCTAGGTTATCATTCGAAGTGAACGAGCATACACAGATTTTCGACGGTGCACAATGAACAGCATGCTGTGCACACGATCGACTTTCACGTCTCCTGTTAGATTTTTCGCTCAGCGTCTCGTGCAATTCGTCCATTGGTGTTTAACAGGGCTCGAGGTACCGGTTCCCTTCGTTTCCTTCGCGATCGATCGTAGGGGCTTCATTCTCCATCTTTTTTTTATCATTTCTTTCGTTTATTCCTTTCCATGTTCGTCGTCAAAAAAGGTTAGTCGGGAATTCGAGTGGATTAATCCCTCGCGAGCAATACTCGCGAGAGCCGCGTGGAGATTTCTTAAACCGCACGGTGTTGCATCGGTGATCGGTAGATTTCATCGAGTTCAGATGAACGTGACCAGTTGCAATGCCTGGTGAAACCTTCGTCGGTATCGCGTTACGATGTTACGTGGAAGCGTCGCTCGATAGGGCAGTTATTCGATCTATTCTCTGAGGATACATCGCGAGTGATTCTGGCGCGAGCGATCCCGAGGATCCACTGGTTTGAATCGTTTTTCGACGTCACTTGCAACTTTTCTTGCCAATTTCACTTACTCCGCTCTTACTCCCTACTTTCGTTCTTGTATTCTCGTATTTCGTGATTTTATTCGAAATTAGATCAGTAGTAGTAGTAGTAGTAGTAGTTTACTACTACTGCTACTACTAGTAGTAGTTTAATGTATCGGTTGTGATCATGATTTAGTATTAACAATGGCAGCTAATTATTATGATAAAATTGGTTGTATAGTGATATCCATGGAATATAGTATAACTGTTTCAACCCTTGGTATTATGTATTGTATACACATACGTTGTCGGATAAATCTATATTGTGCTATTCGGTTTTATTTTTATTTAAAGATACAGTAGTGAGACTACTTATTGTTTATAATTATGAAATATTTATCCTTTTGAGAGCAGAGAAGGGGTCCCAGTGTAAGAGTGTATGGGGGTTGCTGAAATTAATGCTGAGGGATTTAAAATTCTCAGACTACAATGGGATTAATATGTATGTGTTACGGAGAGTGCAGATTTTATAATTGAAAGATCAGGGAAATATTTTGACATTTGATTAAACAGTTGTCAAAATGGATTAAATTTTTCGATTAACATATTGACGAATTTTAGACATTTTTATACGCGAGGTTGATATTCCTAATTAAAGAAATAACACGCGGAGTTAAAACACTGTAGTATATTATAAATATTTTGAAGATAAGGTATTTAAGTCCTTTCATTTTGCATAATATATGGATTTCTTTCCCAATTATTTGAACAAGTAAATATTGATAAATTTTGTATCTGTACTACACTTGGTGCAAGCAGATGTCATCAATCGTGTTATGAACTGTAAATGGTGCAAGAAGTACATGCTAAAAGCGATAACAACAAAGTGCAACCGAAAGTAACGATTCAAATCAGTCTTTCGAGACTACTAACAGAGTTAGTCTCTGCTTCAGTCACGAGTCACTCGAGTCTCGTTGCCTTTAACCGAGTCCACACCAAATCTACAAACATGGAAAGAAAGAATTAAAATAAAAGAGAAAGAAACATTCAAGACTTGCGATGGTACTGCAATTTTTGAACGATCGTATAACGTAGATGCAAACGCGAAATTTGAGCTACCATTTTTGTAATAACAATACGATAACAATAGTAGTTTGTAAATGTGATCTAAAAATGAAAATAAAAATGTAATTATTTACGTGTAGAGATAAGCCATACTCATTTGGTTCCTAGTATTTCGACTATAAACAAAGGAAAGAAAAAAAAGAGGAAGATAAGTACGAAGTTTTACTAGTCACTTGTTTAAATGACAGTATTAAATACACGAAAGAGCGGCGTTCGAATTTTGAAGAAAATAAAAATATCAAACAATTTTAGATACCTTTATTCTTCGAACGATTTATATACGACATTCAGTCATAATTTCATCCCTCATAATCTCATTGAATTAATTCTAGTCTCAAATAAAAATAAGGAAAAAAAAAAGAAAGAAAAATACAAAATAAAATCCTGTACATTTTGCTACCTATAGGAATATAAAATAACACGAAATAAAATTTAACACGTTCATATACTTGTAGAAACATAAAATAATACAAAATACCATCTGGATGCACATATATATATATCCCATTCATATCCTGTATTTCCATCATTCTCCTATACTTTTCCAGTACCTAGAAGATACAAAAAAAATTACTCAAACTCGCAAATATAAATACTCCATTGCCTTAACAATACCAAATCAATAAAAAGCGAAAAAAATTGCACGATCGTCGCATTTTTCCTCAACAGAATCCACCGTCTCCTTTCATGTCGGTCGGTTCGGTGCGGACTTCCGGCAGAGGCTCGAAGCAGTTCCTGGTCCGACTTTGAACCCTTTGGGTGCTTTATCGTGCCGGCTGATCGGCCCTACACATTTGTGATACTCGGTTCCGCACAGCCCTGGCTCGGACGTTTAATACTCTCGCTCGTCTCCTGGTACGAGCAGCGCGTGATGTAATTAAATCGACTTTCGTGGGTCGTTGGTGGGGGTAGGGTGAGGGGTGAGGATTGGATTAATCAGCGAAGACCAGCGGGAAGGTGGGAGGGTTGGTCCGGTTGATAAGAACCACGTGAATCGAGGGTGGTATACGAATTTAATAAGAGCGAAATCAATCTCGATTTATTATCGAGACTGGTCTACCTTTTAGAATAGGAGTGGGGAGTCGTTAAGGCGGTGGGGAGTGGGGGTATGATGTATGGGCAGACTGAGTGGGGAAAGGAACGGGAGTGGGGGGTGAAGCGCGAGTGGCGGGCGAGGATGATGAGCTGAGAAAGAAACGGTAAGAGTAAAAATGATGAAACGATGCTCGCGTCGCTCGACATTGCGCCTGTACCATTTTGCTTCTTTAGCAGAGTACAATGCCATTTATTTTTGTAATACGTTTACGTAGGATAGCTATTATTTTTATAGAGGTTTACCGTGCTACCAGTAAGTCTTATAGAGGCCTGCGAAATAAAATAGTGTAGGATTTTTCATAGGAGCCGCGGATTCCATGATATAAGATATAAGGTTACCTGGGATTCGATGTGTAACGATGTTTAAAAGGAGACACGCACTTCTAGTACTGGCTTTTGTTTTCGGTTATCGTACACGTTCACGCGTTTTTCTTCTGTGAGATCCATATAGCGGGAACACCCAGAGCAATGCTTCTTTAGGGGCGATGCGGTCCACCAAAATAAACAAGCAATTCGTATCTTAAGGTCACGTGACACCGTTAAACCTCGTTTAGGCTGAACCTTGCCAGTTTGCCGCAGTTCTAGAAAAAGGAAGGGAACACAGACAGCAATAAAGGAAGTGGATAGATGATAAAATGTTTCTATACGAGAGTAGGCGATCGTGGCCGTCTTGACGATAATTTCTGGCATCTCGAATTTTCATTTTCGCATCCAATTGGATGATCGATTATCGTGGAGGCGGTGCAACGTAGACGATAATAACACGCAATACTTCTTCCGCTGATTGCTGCTTTTCGTGAGGTTAACTCCGGATGAACTTCCAGGCAGGTCTCTCGATGCGTGTCCTACGGTAATATTAAGTTTTAAAGTTGAAAGAGAACTGTGTATATTTTATGAAAAAAGATATAGTAAGGTCATACATATCTACAAATAGATTTATATACTCACGGTATGGCTACTATTTGAAATTAATTTTTTCACCTAGTATTTTTCCATTTTTTAGCTATTATATATAAAATCAGTTTGTTAATTCTTCGTTCCAAAGTATGGAAAAGTATGTGGAAGTACTGTGGAAGTAAAATTAGAGTAGTGTAATGAATAAATTGTTCTAAGTACGGTATTTCTATGTAAGATATTATTTAAAGAGTTTGAGGTTATTTTAATGTATGTGATAATTTTTATAGTATGTTAATAATGAGTTTACAAATTGACAAAATGTATAAAATATTTCTAAATAAGATTTATAAGATCAAAATTTAGTAAATTACGTTACATTTTTTTGTAAATATAATTATTTATATATCGTTATTTAATATGAATAATGTGAATAATGTAATGTTTATATCTCCAATAATTTATTCAAATATTAATTACCGATATTTAATATTGATATTTGGCCATATATGTTACAAATAGTCTGTACCAACATCCAAAATTTTGTTTACCATTTCAGGCGAAGATACGTCATCATCAAATTTATAAATGCTTTCATTTCCAAAAATATGTTCCCTACAAATGATCAGAACCAATTTTATAAATGCCATTTTAAAATTATAAAAATAAAAAATTTGTTTCAATATTTAATCAAATTTTTATTGGCCTTACTATATTCTCTTTACGTAAGTATACAAATATTGTCGCTTTGAGAGACTTGTCGCGAACAAGTAGCGCGGTCTTCTAATCAAATAGCCACTAAACCTAATATAGATTATACACCACGATGCCATTATACCGTATAAATAATTAAAGCGAAGCTATCAAGTCAAACAGTGTCGCGAACATGTGATATGCGCAAAAGACGTTGAAAAGAAGCAAATCTCTCCGTCGAGCAGTGTTGCAAACGGTGTTTCATTCGAAATGCATCCGAATTTTTGTAAACGCGGCTTGAAGTCCTACTACTTCCCGCGCGTTTCGTTCCGCGATGTTTCAGAGATCTCCGTTTCTAACGTCTTCCCCAGTCATTGAAGATATTCCACTCTTCTTTTGTTCGAGCAACGGTCTTCAATCGGTAGAAACAAAATGGAACTCGTTCGACTAATCGCAGGCACGTAGAGAATATACAGAACACACGTACACACACGATAGTCAGTTGAGGTTAACACTGGTATGGTCTATAACAAACGCTAGGATACTAGAACCAAGAGCAAAGAAAAATAAAAGATAAGCAGGAAAAATAAAAGAAGAAAAAGATCGATTGGCTCATTAGGCCGTAAGTACAAGCGTAAGATTTTTTATTGTTAATATTTTTCCTCAGGTCGAGTCTTGAACGGTGCCTAAAAAGCTTTGATTAAGGATCAAACAAGAAATAAAAAGCAAGTTCTGAATTGCGTGTCGATGAACTTTTTTTAAAAAAGACAAAGAGAAAGAGAAAAAAAAAATGGGAATTATTTATCGGATTCTTGCGGTGTGTTGTTTCGGGTTATCCTCGAGAAAGAAAACGAGAGAGAGCAAGCTCGCACGATTCGAAGAGAGAGTGAAATAAAGAAAGGAAGAGAGAAAACAGAAAATTAATAACAGAAATATGGATGATCGATTCATCGAAGGAATAAAAGATTCTGATACGACACGACGATAAAGATAAGATATACCTATATACATACCGTCGGTGCGTAGAAAGTACCGTGTCATATATATATATATACATACATGTATACATATATGTATAACAAAAATACGCGCGTGTGTATGTATGTACGTGTATGAGTGAATTTGCATATTTGAAAAATGTGCGTGCGTATGCGTGTGTGCGTGAAACGTTAAACAGAGGATTATCGTAGTGCTCCGTTTAAGGAAAGCACGCAGGCTGTGGCGAAAATTGTGCTGTAACCGGTTGCAGTATTATTTTTCTGTGAAAAAGTAGGTCGACTGTCATGGAGCAAGTTTTGTTCGGTTCGAACTGTTTCTCAGGGAAGTGAACTTTCAGTATCGTAAAGTTGCATATAACGAGTTAGTTGTTAAATCGGTTATTTTATTTGAAAGAGAAAATATAAATAGAAATCAAAAATGTTAGTTTCTTTGTAAATATAACAAACATTATCAATGTTTGTCGTATCCCATCGAAATATGTGAAATGTGAATATACGACGACGCCGCCTTTTAAGGTTATGTTTTAATGCTTCGTATGGGATGCGATTTTTATCGACAACTATTCGACGTATGCGTTGAATTATTATGTTCTCTGCATCTATTATACAATTTTGAATGAAACGTATCGATTAAAACTATTATTGCAAAGATTTAAGTAAATGAACAGTCGGATATGAAAATATATTTTAATAAATAGAATTTGCAGCTCATCAACAAATACACATATTTTATGGTTCAAATTATAATACTTTCCCCGGGTACAAAAATTTATAACGCGAACAAAATTTACTCTATGATATCGTTTATTTTTGCATGGGAAAAATTAATTCAGTCTCTAGGTGGCAGCACTATTTTCGATGCGTCCTGCCCAATCGAAGAGAATAATTTAAAGCTACAGATCTAATATAAAGGACAATGAACAAGTAGGTAGGTTACGCCGATACATGTATGTACCTATAAAACATAAGACGAGAGTACGCACTTTTGTAATAGTAGTTTTGAGAGACAAGAACAAAAAATGCGATAAATGATAGTGAATGATATATATATGATATATATCACATATATTAGATATTTAAATATAAAGAAGAAAAAAAGAGTTGACGCTTGATACACCATAGTTTTCACCGACATATCCTGGTTGAACACATCCTCTTTACGTACATACTGCATACTAGTTCTTATTACGATACCACCACACGATTACTACACGAGAATATAGGCTATTTTATGGGTAAAAACGACGATAATATTATTATTAATATTATTATTGATTATCACAGATTATTATTGTTTATTGCGATTCTTGATTATTATCGTATAATTACGATTATGATTATCGAGAATATAGATACGTATAAACGTAACGATGGTACAACTAAGGCAAGTATGTACTGTACATAGCTGTCACTTACCCTTTTCCCCACCATGCGACTATATAAATATATAAATATATAAATAAATCTATATATATATATATATATATATATATATAAAGTCATTATCATTGTTTATTGCGATTCTTGATTATTATCGTATAATTACGATTATGATTATCGAGAATATAGATACGTATAAACGTAACGATGGTACAACTAAGGCAAGTATGTACTGTACATAGCTGTCACTTACCCTTTTCCCCACCATGCGACTATATAAATATATAAATATATAAATAAATCTATATATATATATATATATAAATACATAAAGCCATTATATTGCAGAACATTAATCATTGTTGTACTAATGATTATTTTGAAATACTATTGTCTTTATTATTATAATTTTATCGTAAATCATTGTAATTATTAATATTATTATTATTACCGCTACTTTATATGATTATCACGATAAGAATTTGTTAAAACTGTGTGTAATTTTAATTAGCGTGCGATATTATCATTGGCGAAAGTAGATCCTCACTCTTAGCTAGGGCACATGAAAATGTATTCTTACTTTTTTTACGAATTGGATTCTACCTCACTATAAATGCCATTGCGTTAAACGAAAAAGCATAAAAAATGAGGAAACCACGAATAATGAAAGGAATAAAACAAATAGATATTCTTCACACATTTTTCTATTCTTTCACGAATTATTAGACATGGAAAAACACTTTGCGATCAGATCAAAGTACGACTAATTATTATTACCGTTGTTATTTATTAGCAAGAATTGTTAAAACTGCAGCGACCTCAGCCTGTGATAGTTACAAAGGATATTATTTAAAGTAAGTATCCGCTGTATTACGTGAAACGTAGAGCATCGATTGGCTATAGTTTCGAAGGGTCGAACTATACATATATACACGCGTCATGATTGGACTTTTGTAAGGCTCTCGTGCCTAGAATCGAGCTCATTACGTTACAGTATCGTTGATTGAAAGAATAAAACAAAAAAGAAAATTAGTTGGTCCGATGCATTATTGTGTATAGTTTTGTTAGATTTTTGTAAATTCCAATTTTGTAATGAGCTTTGTTAGTGCAATATGTATTAGTAGACATTTCAACGTGAAACTTTTCTTTCACCGTATTTCGCTGCGAAAGATAACCTAATTTATGGATCCCTTGCGTTTCCTCGACAAATTCAAGGAAGGACTATTTAAGAATCGATATTTTCGCTCGACCGGTTCATATGTTATGTAATACGCTATACTTTGTAATTTTATCTATAATTGCATGTGATAAGAGACGAAAGTATAGCCACAGAATACGTAAAGGTAAAAATGTAACAAGTGTCATTGAGTGCTTTAAACAAATACACGTAACAAACGCTGTGCGCTTGTGATCACGATCTTTCTTTTTTTTTCTTTAAGAGAAAGAGAGAACTAACCTATTTGTTTCTTCTTTTCTTGTGCATGTGCGACATGTGAAAGGCTCGAAATGAACGAGTTTCCATACGGTATGTTCCTTTATTAGATGAAACACGCAAGAATCACTTATAATTAGCTGTAATATAATCGCCTGTAGGGCTTCGTAATATTTTTTCATTATATATATATTATATATATATAATACAATATATATATATATATAATTATATTAACTGTATTGTGATGTTAACTTAAGCCATGGACAGAGACGTGGGGGAGTTTCTCGAGGTCGCTGTAGTAAATCCTACCGCTGAGGTGAGGGATCACTTTCCGTTTTTTTAGCTTACTCGACAAGCGCCAATAAATGAGCGGATGTCGGCTATTCTCGATGAATAAAAAAACAAAAAGCTAGAATGTACCCGCATAATTATCTTTGAATGATGAAATGGCGATGATTGGGAACTGTACAGTGTGATCAACAAACAGACTACAATGTAGTTTGTTCGTGATTGAATGAACAAACAGAAACACTTGTGTAATAAAGTAGATATCTATAAAAAAGTATCTTTTGTATTCTTTATTCACCTTCTTTATACACCACATTTTTATTGTAATTATACGTACTTGTATCTAAACATTTTTCAAACAGATAAAACATTGTTTTTTGTATCTATAAAAACAATATCTCTACTAAAATATATCCTCGAATATAATCATTTTTGATGAAATACATTCAATTTTTTATGATAAATAGAAAGTCAGATGAAAGTTTTTTTTGTGGAGAACATAAAATTAAATATAATGTTAAATCATAATTTAAAAAAAAAAATAATTTATTTCATTATTCTAATAGTTGTTGCATTTGCTCCTTGATAAAAAGAATTGATGACAAATATCAATTTTTATATGAAATAAATTTTATTAAATAATAATGAGCAGTATAAAAGTTATTATTCCTACTCCATTTCAACGTCAACAACAGCATCCTCTACAATAACCTGTTCTGATGTCACAGGAGCCTGCACTGTAGGTAAGGGATCAGGAGATCGAGTGTAAGTATTACTGGTCGAGTGTTCTTTAAAATATTCACCACCTTTCTCTTCGTACTCCTTCTTGCTTACTAAAAATTCGGGAAGATTTCCACTTAGACCAAAATCCCTCGCGCCATACCATGCATCTATACTAGTATTTTTTGCGATATTTATTTGGAAATTCGATCCAAATGGACGCATTTCACGAAGTTCACGATTCAATCTCTCGAGTAAACCAGGAAATCTGGTCGGACCTCCAGTAAGAAATATATTTCCCACGAGTCGCGACTGTTGTTCGAGTGGATAAAGCTTCAAAACGAATTCGATGGTTTCCGCAATGCCTGCTTCTACAGAACCTATCATAGATGGTTGAAATAATATTTCTGGAGCCCTCAAACGTTCTACTCCTACGTGCAATTGATGAGTTTCTCCAGGAACTATAGGAACATTAGATCCGGCGCCATCAAATTCTGGATCGTGATGCCGTAATACATCTTCCAATTCTAGAAGCTTTTCCTGTTCTACTTCCGAATCTGAGTCTCCACCTTCCTGTGTAAACATAAACAAATTAAAATTATAAATTTAAACTAAAAGAGAATAAATAAAAATGTGTACAAACCCTATTTATAACTTTGTAAACATCCCAATCTTCATCTCTCATACCAAAATCGTCATCGCGTTTTTCTTTTCTCGCTAACTGACTTATTATGCGCATTCTTTCCTGCGCAGCAGCTGTTCTACGTTTCGCCATATCTTGTCTACGTTGTCTTTTCGCCATTCGTCGCTCTAATATTTCTTGCCTGTAATGTAAGAAAAAATATACTTCAATAACATTATAAAAGTAACGAAACAGTTGATTACCTTTTTTTTCGTACACCAGCAATCCATTCGTCGAAATCTTGTTGATCTTTAGGTTGCAGAGTCGATTTTAATTTTGGTTTCTGTTCTTCCATTGCAATATTTTCTTCTTGTGAATTAGCCGCTACTATTTTTTGTCTAGTTCTTTCTACTTTTGCTTGCAAATTATTAATCATTTTTATAAGATCTGCTTCATTCGCGAGAGAATACGTTTTTAATGCTTGATCAAATTCATCTGTTTCTCCTTCTTCTAATAAATCCTGGACTGCCAATAATTGATTTAATTGTTCTTCATCTTCTGCTAACTACAAATAATAATTATTTTTAAATTACATTCATATATAAATAAATTAATAAATTAGAAAAAATGTCTAACTCTCTCTTCTCTTTTTCTGGCATTAATTTCCATTAATCTCCTAGCTAATTCACGTTTTCTCTCTTTCTGCTGTTCAACTGTTAAACCAGGAGCATTTGTAGGAGCAACATAGGGTAATTGTACTCTTAATACATTCATGTCATAATAATCAGGATCAGCCCATTTAGAAATTTCTTCTTGATAATTTAAAGCTATCATTGAATGTTCATGTATCAATTCCTATTTAAAACAAACAAAAACATGTTTTTGAAATTGTAATAGTAGATACGATAGATGATATATATACCTCTGCTCGACTAGGTGTTATAGCATTTACATGGACTGGATATTTAAGTTGAAGCAACCTATGCATATAAGATGTAATATGGTATCCACCAACATTGATTCTTCTTGAATTTACAGGATCTGCTTTACCATCTAATATAGGTATAATGTGTGTGGTATGATACCCAATACTAATTATTAAGCCATCCGATGGGCAATTATTATGCTGATAAGAAAATAAACAATCTACTCCGTATGCTATTGCAGGTACATTGTAACACTCAAATAAAAGTTCAGCCATCACTAAAATTAATATGATTATTAAATTAAAATTTTAAACTAACCTCAAAGTTTACTATGTATTTATGTACCTACAGTTTCGTGAATAATTAGGATTGAGAAATGCTTCTGTTAAAATAATGGGATGATTTACTGCCCCTTCTGTATCTATTCCCATATGAGTGAAAGTATAATCAAAGATTTGTTCTTGAGCTTCAAAATGTGTTACCACATTTCGATCAAACTGTGTTTTTAATTGAAATCGAACAGCTTCAATATTAGCTATGTCATTTCCAACCTGAGGCTCACCATCTTTTTTACCACGTTCTTTACGTGGCTTTGCAATGAGATTCTTAAATACTAATTGAGGTTCTTTCTCTGAAGCCCACCCAACTCTACAATTGTATGAACCTGGAAATATTTATATGTAATAAATTATACATAAATTTTTATTATACTTATTTCATATTGTATAATGTATTATATATTACTTACCATTGTCAATTACAAGTGGTGTTGCTTCGGTTTTCACTCTATCTAAATAAGGATGAATAATATCAGGTACAGCTTTTATATCTTTTAATTCAAGAACTTCCATTTTATATATTTGTTATTTTTTTATTATTATTATTTTTTTTTTTATTATATCATAAAAGATACTTGCATGCATCGGTGCTTTGTGACATGATGTAAACAATCAAGGAACTGTAATATCGATAAAGTTCAAATTGTAGTTACGAGATGGCGCCTTCATGCAAATGCATTTCATCACGAGTTTCTTCACTTCAAATGTTAAAAAATCTTATTTTAGCTTATTTTAATATTCCTTAAATTTCATTTTCTATGTTATTGGCTCAAAGGAATAAATATTATAGTAGACAGCGAATTTTTATTCAAAATCATATTTTTATTATCACTATATGATAACTGAGGTAAAGACAAATGACCTCCTTGTGACCTTTACGTGCACTATGCCGCCATGTGATTTTGAATACGAAAAATTTATAAAAGTTTAATAATTAATGTAAATAATGAAATAATGAAATGATGACAGAATGATTAACGAAGGAAAATTAAAATGCGACACCCTGTATATTTATAATTTTAGTAAAGTAAAGTAAAAAATAATACATTTTTCATGTTTTTATATGTATAGCAAAGATATTTAAGAAAAAGACGTTCTTTTTGAAAATGAAGATTCTAGCATAAAAAATTTTTATTTATTTTATCATAAAAAGTTACGTATTGTATAAGTGTACCATAAAATATGTTGTATTCTATCTACATCTTTTCCCACGTATGATTCTTTACCTAACAGGAATCAAAAGCGAGTCGTATGACCTTTGGAAATATATTACTTCATTTATCCAAGCACAAGAGGTATTCAAAATGTCGACCTTTGACATTAACACGTATCATAAATTATGTTGTACCATTGAATCATGTTACAATCATATTCTATGTTATATTGTTTAGTTTTGTAACTTTTGTTTCATGAATATCAATCTTTATCGATAGTCGTATAGATCAAAATTAAAAATTAACTTTGGAATTACGTGACTATGATTAATTTTTTTAAACGAAAATTTTATAGAAATAATTTTTAAATAAAATTATGATATTTTTATTTTACAATTTGTGTTATTTTCTATTATTATTACTCATTTGATTATTTTATGTTACTGATTACGTAAGGTTGTTAATGATTGTACACTAATTGTTAACCTTTATAGTACATTCAAATCAACATGTTCAATTGAGTCTACAAATTAACATAACTTTCTTGTATTAAATATTGGAAGCAGATATTTTTACTTTGTTTACTTTTCTGAATAGATATGGGTTTATAGGAACATAAAAGAAGAGTTGATAGTTTCATGGTATTTTACATAATTTATTCGTATAAAATTACATAAAATCAGTTATTAGTTCCAATAAATAATTCAATTTTATCTCATAGAAATTACACTTTACGTTTCACGTAATGTTTTATTATAAAGGTATTATAAAGTGGTCATTATTTTTATATTCGTAATATTTACCTAAATGCTCTTGCATAATTTTTGTCATTCTATTTAAATATCTAACGTAAGTTTTATTTTTCTGAACAAATGTGCGCTTTCGTGTTCGCAAATAAATCACAAACGTTAACGCAGTTGACATTACACCGCGAATCTAAATTGTTCTGCTTTCTCGTGCATTAGTCATGGGCATACCGTTTAAAAAGCGATCGTCCAATGAAAGAAGAAAGTGAAATTGTATTTTTATTCAAATTACTGAAAGTTCACGATCTTTTCTTGGCATTTCACAATTGCGAGCATGCTTCACACGTACGAGCCCTAATGTTTCACCGAACAATTTTTTAATAGCAAAAAAATGCGCACTGAATTGTTTGTGGACATATCGATTGATACCTTTAGCTTATCCCTGAAACAATTAAAGATTCGTGAAACAATCTGGGATAATGTAAGTAAATCAGAGAAACATATGTGTACGAAGAAACGTGACGAAACTGTGCTGCCCTCTTTTGGTAAAGTGGTCTACTTATCGATTCTTATTTTCCAATGTACTTTGGGATGTTTTAAACCAGATGTCTTCCACCTCAAGTAATAACAATTTTTTAATTAAGAAAATTTTACTTTCCAAGGTAAATTAAAATAAAGTTTTTCAATTTCATGCCTTCATGATTATTTCTGTTTAGTTCACATGGGGATAAACAAATTTTTTATGTAAAAATAATGTTTCTAATGTATTTAAAATATTATTAAAAGGTGCAATATGAAAAATTAAAAAGAAGAACATTACAAGAATTATAAAAATACGTATTCAAGAAATATTAGTATTGTGACTATTGGGAAAAAAAGTTAAGAAAATTGTAAAGAAATCAAAGAAATGAGTATCACGTCGACAAGCAGTAAACGTGGCGCGAGAATACCGAGCACACATGTATTCAAAGTACCCGGAAGAGAACGTGTGCACAGAAGTAACGATATTAACATTCACGGACACTTTCAAAGTGTTGCGCAAATATAATTTCACAAACGCGCGTGAAACTGTATGAGCCGTTCCTAATTGATAAAATAACGTAACCATTCTTCACTTGTTATCTTACTCGAAAACGTATTAGATTCACTATAAGATAGTGAATAAACTGTGATTAAATGTTATGTCAATATTTATTCCTTTTATGGTATGGATACATATTTTGAATAGAGTAGCTGTTGGCTGTAGTAGCTGTTTACTATTACCTAATTTTAGAGGTTATATTTATTATTATACAACGAAATATGAATTTATTTTTTTTAGAAATGACATATATAATGTTGCACTTTTTGTTATATAAAAATAAGAAAAAATTACGTAGTTGATGGATTATGGGTTCGTGTATGGCATTCGACTACTTTCACTTATTAAAAACATTTTGTTATTAATTCGAAAGGTATCCGTGGAATTTTTATACCTATATTGATTTCTTAATTAACATTTGACATAAGAACAAACACAGTTGTGCAAATTTTAACGATTAATGAAACAGTAATTCTTTTATATATCTTTTATTGTTCAAGTTGTTAACATATTTTATTGATATCTTGTTAATATGTCCTTTTATCACCTTTTTATATTCATCACTAAATTTGACGCATTTTGTAACCTAGTATTAAAACTAAAGCAACGTTTATTAACATCGTTATACTTAAAACTAATACTTTATTATATAAAATCAATATTTTATGAGTAAATTCTAGAGATCTAGTAGATCTAAATTTAGCATTGTCAACACCCACTTAAATATTTCAAATTCTCCATTTCAGTGGTTTCCAACTCAACTATCGACGAAACCTATCACACACCATCATACGATATCTTACGATATGTAAAGAATATAAACTACTTCTAACCTCGCTACCAATTTATTACTCTTTTCGACAATCGTTTACAACGATGTACAAGAATACTACTGTTCTATCCTCTTCAAAGCATTTATAATTTCAATACAAACAACCTTACATATCGTCGTATAATACGCACAACAAACAACAAATACGTATAATAAAACAGATCTCTCTTCCCGCCAAATAAACATTTTACTTTACTACCAGCTTCCTCGCACGTTACCCTTCTCTTCGACATAACTTCTTCACTGTCAGACTTCCCTTTCGGTCTGTCGATAAATTACCACCAACCAGGAGCATTGCGACCTAAACTGTATTCTGATTGATGATAAGCGGTGACCAACTCAGCCGGTGTTCATGGGCGGCGAAGGGTGGGGGTTGCGCGGACCAGGAAGAGAGCGCAGGGAGCAGGAATATCGGTGTCGCGTGATACGCGTGTAACGAGTGGAGAAATAAGAAGAAACGGTGGGACGTAACGCGGGAAAACAGAAAGCAACAGACGAGTCAAAGGCGAATGTGTTTAGTCGAGAAACGTATCGACAGTCGACGTCGAAGAAAAGCGGCGATAGGAGAGCAAGCGAGAAAGGAGTTTCGGCGAAAGGGGGGTGGGGGTTGTGAAATGCAAGCAAGGATGCAGAGGTGGTGTGGCGGGCAGGCGAATCAGGACCAGTTTCAGGTCTGCGCTCACGTCATACCCACGTTGCTACGTGCTGTCGACGGATCGGAATAGAAAGAAGGAGAGGAAAAAGAGGAGAAACGTACCGTGTTTTCGGGCCTTCGTGTTTCTAGATTAAGGGTTTCGAGAAAAGGAGAAATAAGAGGACCATGTTCCTTCGAGTGTTCTCGATTTTGTTGCTCAGTGCTGTGACCTTGAGCGGGGCCCAGTTTCGGTGCCCTGAGTCCAAGGGTTTCTTCCCGGACCTGGAACAGTGCGATCTCTACTACGCCTGCGTAGACGGTAAAGCGGAAGAGAAGCTGTGTAAGGATGGTCTCGTATTCAGGGATGACAACCCTAAGAAGGAGCTATGTGATATTCCAGCGAATGTGCCTTGTGGCGATAGGAATCTGCTTCGTAAGTTGAATTTTCGTAAATTCTTTATATTTATTCGAACGAGACGTGGTTAACGTAATCGAGCAACGTTTGATTCCTTTTTATTTACGTATTGCGGAACACGGTAGAGGTTATGTATTTCTTTTATTCTAATTGCGTATATTGCAATCTAAAGCAAGGTAGCGCATAATAATTTGTGTGATGGATGAATGACAGCAGATGGATGACTTTTAGAGTACTTTAAGATTGAAAGTTAGAATTAATAATATTTTGAACGCGTTAAATATCATGTTGTAACGATCGACAGTAGAACTTTCCATTTGGGCCACTAACGTTTCCTGCGTGTATAAAATGACGTGTGCCATTAGAGGCACATGTGGCCTAAATGGAAAAACGCTCTAACGCAAGTTGACACAGAAAGTGTCAACAGTAAATAAACCGATATAATTCGAGATAAAAATTTTATATATATTTTCGTTGTGTAAAATTAAAATTGTAAGTTACCAATTTTTATTACTTATCGAGCCAGGTAAAATAAAAAAAAAAATATATATATATAACATTTTAGATGAAAAAATGTATTCTAAAAAAATTTATAGACGGTCTAACTCAAATGTTTCACAGAAGAAAATTTTTTAAAACAATGTTTCATACACTTTCATACAAAAATAATTTCCCCACGAATATTTATTGAAATTTTTAAACAATTTCCTATTTAGGTACAATGAACAAAAAAATACAAACTTAATTATTTTACATAACAAATGGACTCGACATCTGTTTCAAATGTTCCAAAAACCCAAATTCATGTGCTTCGTATATTTCCAAATAAAAATTCTTACCAAGATATTCCAATCATTCCTTAAACAATTTCTTAGAAGTCAATACGAAGAAGCATTATAAATAAATTTAATTATTTTATATAAAATATTACCCTACGTCTAATTTAAGTATTCCAAAAATAAAACAAAAATTCAATTATTCAATTATTCCACAAAGTTTCAAAAAAGAAACAATCAAAATTCAATCATTCAATTATTATTCAATTATTTCACAAAGTTTCAAAAGGAAAAACAAAATTCAGTTATTCAATTTTTATTCAATTATTCCACAAAGTTACAAGAAAAGAACAAAATTCGATCATTCAATTATTATTCAATTATTCTACAAAGTTACAAAAAAAAAACAAAATTCAATCATTCAATTATTATTCAATTATTCTGCAAAGTTACAAGGAAACCAAAATTCAATTATTCAGTTATTATTCAATCAATCCACAAAGTTAAAAAATTCAATTATTCAATTATTCCACAAAGTTACACACACACACACACACACACACACAAAACAAAATTCAATTATTCAATTATTATTCAATCATTCCACAATATTAGAAAAAAAATATTCCTGTCTCGTAAGCACTTGTCAAAATATTTTTTCCGATTCTTCTTCCCCCTTTCTTCTTTCTTTTTTTTTTTTTGTTTAGAGGAAAAAGAAAATATTCAGATTTCCAATGGGAATCACATCGAAGCAAATGTCGATTCGACATCAGTACCGTAGATAAGCCCCGATACGTGGCCAAACGAATCGTCTGGCGAGGTGCAATCGCTTAAAGATCGCGAGATACCGGGAACTTCGAGAAGCGAACTTATGAGAAACCAAAGGTGAAAGTTACGTGTACCGATTGCGCGTGCGAGAATATTCTGGTCACATTATCTTCTATTTTCGAGAAATTCCGATCGCGGACGTGGATCGAATTCTCGGTCGAAGCGAAAATTCGTACCGATTTTCCATATCGAAAGTCTGGCCGGCAGACGATCGCGGGCCTTAAAATGGAATTCAGGTTTCGTTTCGCAGGGAACGAATCGCGATTAGATCGAGTTCGTCGAGTGGCCAGAGAAACGATAAATTTTGGATGAACCGGTTCCACCGATTCCTCGTTAAATTCGTTTTCACAGACGCGTTTAATCTTTTGTTCGAGGTTTTTTCATTGTCGACCTCACCGAACGTTCCATTGGGGAGCGAATAAATCTGCATACTAATCTCCTCATTTCTGAGGACACCGGGAATCTTAGTGAAAGGACGAAGTTCGCGATGCTGGAATATGAAAAGTATACTATAGTTACAAGATGATACGATTATGGTAATCGTAACATATCGAAATAGGAGAAAGATATTAAATAAATTGAAAGATTAAAGAATTTTTAATTGTTATTATTTATTAATAATAATTATTATTAATTATTATATTTATTGATATAATAAATTAATATAATATTTAATTATTCAGTTATTATTCAATCAATCCACAAAGTTAAAAAATTCAATTATTCAATTATTCCACAAAGTTACACACACACACACACACACACACACAAAACAAAATTCAATTATTCAATTATTATTCAATCATTCCACAATATTAGAAAAAAAATATTCCTGTCTCGTAAGCACTTGTCAAAATATTTTTTCCGATTCTTCTTCCCCCTTTCTTCTTTCTTTTTTTTTTTTTGTTTAGAGGAAAAAGAAAATATTCAGATTTCCAATGGGAATCACATCGAAGCAAATGTCGATTCGACATCAGTACCGTAGATAAGCCCCGATACGTGGCCAAACGAATCGTCTGGCGAGGTGCAATCGCTTAAAGATCGCGAGATACCGGGAACTTCGAGAAGCGAACTTATGAGAAACCAAAGGTGAAAGTTACGTGTACCGATTGCGCGTGCGAGAATATTCTGGTCACATTATCTTCTATTTTCGAGAAATTCCGATCGCGGACGTGGATCGAATTCTCGGTCGAAGCGAAAATTCGTACCGATTTTCCATATCGAAAGTCTGGCCGGCAGACGATCGCGGGCCTTAAAATGGAATTCAGGTTTCGTTTCGCAGGGAACGAATCGCGATTAGATCGAGTTCGTCGAGTGGCCAGAGAAACGATAAATTTTGGATGAACCGGTTCCACCGATTCCTCGTTAAATTCGTTTTCACAGACGCGTTTAATCTTTTGTTCGAGGTTTTTTCATTGTCGACCTCACCGAACGTTCCATTGGGGAGCGAATAAATCTGCATACTAATCTCCTCATTTCTGAGGACACCGGGAATCTTAGTGAAAGGACGAAGTTCGCGATGCTGGAATATGAAAAGTATACTATAGTTACAAGATGATACGATTATGGTAATCGTAACATATCGAAATAGGAGAAAGATATTAAATAAATTGAAAGATTAAAGAATTTTTAATTGTTATTATTTATTAATAATAATTATTATTAATTATTATATTTATTGATATAATAAATTAATATAATATATCGTATGTTAAATGTAAATGTATATATCATATGTTACTTTTATAGGAAATGTTTAGGGTAAAAATTGGTGGAAATGTAACTTAATATTTTAGTGCAATTCATCGTAATTTTTTGGAATGTTTTAATGACTAGATAGTAGATATCGAGGTGGGTTGTTCTTCGAAAAATTGATTTATGATGCGCGAGTCCAAAGCAATTTAGGTTTCTTTTGACCCCTGTGGAGAATGTTCAGATTTAAATTTTTGTATTTGATTTTCAAATAATTTGGTAATTATAAAAACTAATTGGCTATTTAATTGTTATATAAATAATAAATTAGTGACATAGATTGGACGTCAGTTTTGCAATTTATTATAAAAAATAGCTAACAATTAAAAAAATGAATTTGTATGTATGTATGAAATAGTATAGAGAAAAATGATAAAATTGAGATTTTGATCAAGTAAAATCATTTTAAAACATTTAAACGTACGAATTTTTGCAAAAATCATCAATTATTAGTTTAATTTTCACACTTGACTATACACTTCGTAATCATTTATGTAATAAACTTGAATACCATTTTAACTACTTGTTCAATACAGTTATATCATTTGGGTCAGTTAAATAATCTTCAGCACTGATTCGTTATGTCAATGATTATTGATACTGAGTGCATTCAAAACTTAAAATCAAATTAAATAGATTAAATTGGTAAACGATAATAAGTAAAATAAAATTAACTTAAGATAAAGAATATTATAATATTTAATACATAATTATATTCAAAATATATTGTAGAATAATTATAAATTTATAAATTGCATGTATACATAACATAATTATAATATCATATGTATAATATTTAATATAATGTAATTATACATTATATTACAATATTGTATTATTTATTATAATTATTTATTACAATTTATAACATTATATTAATAATATATAATATTCTATAAATATATAATTACAAATATAATTACAAATTCATAAATTACATATATATAACACAAACACAATATTACATTTATATTTGATATCCTATAATTATATACAATTTATAATATCATATATAAGGTATTTCATAAATTTATAAATCATACCTATATAACATAATTATAACACAATTTGCATATAACATTGTATAAATATACGAAATGGAAGAGATAAGTATAAATAACCAATTAACGAATCTAGTCATCCAAGTCTCACAAGAATCTTCTCCTTCCAATATTAATCATTCAGAGGAACCCCAGCCGAGCAAAGGGTGCCCACGCGCTAATGGATACTTCAAGCACGAGGATCCAACCGCCTGCGATCGTTTCGTGAACTGCATCGATGGCGTAGCGCAGATAATGCCCTGTCCACCTGGTTTGATCTACGAGGATAAAATGTCCAGCTGCGTTTGGCCCGCGGATGCCAGCAGGTTGTGCGAGAACGTGAAGAGGGACGTCCTCGACGATGGCTTCGTCTGTCCCGATGGCGACGTGCCCGGGCCCCTGGGCAGGATCCTGCCTCACCCTACCTACCCCCATCCGGAGGACTGTGCCAAGTTCTACATCTGCAAGAACGGCGTGGTGCCGCAGAAAGGACAGTGCGAACCAGGCACCGTTTACAGCGAGGACAGCTTCAAGTGTATGGATCCAGAGAACGTGCCTGGGTGGTAAGATTTTCTTTCATTTCAACTTTTCTTACATCCTCTTTCATCATTTTCTCAGATTCAGGTGTTTCTGATCATAACATATTCCACTGTTAATCTCTAATGCTTTCTGTTATTTAGGTATCGTTATTCGAATGATACGGAAATGAAAATTTAACTATCAAACATACACAATTGAACGTTCAAAATTCAAAATTGGGACTTGCAAATTGAGAAGTGAAAATTCGAGGTTTGAAATACAATATTCGAAATTTATAATTAAATATTACGTAATAATTATCAATACATTAGCCCTATACAAGGTGGCCTAGAATTCATAGTACTGCTGAGGAAGGAGAAATTCTACGTGAAAAAATAAATCGAAAATGAAGAATAAAATTTTTTCATTTGAAGCTTCGTAGTCGAGAAAATTGACTTTGAATATTCACCGAGTACATGTACACTTATTTATAGCTTAGATAAATATATCATCGATATATCAGCATCGGTGGTAAAATCGAGGAGGGCATGATTCTACGTGAAAAAATAAATCAAAAAAGAAAAATAAAATTTTTTCATTTAAAGCTTCGTAGTATGTAATATAATATACTAATCATCGTTAGCGCGTTGATCTTGAAATATGGAGCTAACTGTACTCTGCTAATAGTATTCGTGATATTTTGCTATAAATATATGAACGTAAATTGGCAATTAATCTTAGTAAACCAATCTTTGGAATACATCTGAACCGTTCAAAGGATCTGGGTGATCGTCACGTGCTACATGTACGCTATAAAGAATAATTACACGCTGGAAAAATAATAATTAACAGTAAAATAACGTTATAAAGAATAAGAATAATTAGAACTCAATGTTTATTTAACAAAGACGCTATAGCAATTTATGACATAATCTTGAAAGGAAGTTTGAAATTTTTCCATACATGTATCTCGGTTCTCTGTAAGCTATAACTACTGTGCATTTCCGTTACAATATAATTCTTATTTTTGCCGTCTCTTTTTGTTGCAGCGAGGACTACTACAAGAACAAGAATTGAACAAGACAAGGTGCCAGTTACTCAGCGATACGTCTGTAACGCTTAATTTTTTACACTTAGGAACAATAAACCCGTGATATACTTACGTAAATGAATGGCCTTTGCATACACCTCCCACGATAATTATACCTTTCTCCTTATGTAAACGGATATTACGCTCCGGAAACTTATAGTGTCGACAACTTTGTTGCGGCTTGTTCTAATAGAAGGATCAATAACCGAGAGTTAATATCGCAATGGAAGAATTTACTACTGGGAAACAAGGAAACGTGCTCCTGCATAGCTCTGGAACCCTTTTCTCCGTATTTACTTTATCCACCAGTTGCCATAGTCTTCATTTATGAATTACAAAAAATATTTGATTATTTTTAAATTTCAATATAAATTAAATAATTTAAATTAAATAAGAAAAAATTTCTCCAAATGAAATTCTCAATTATTATTAATGGATTATTAATGGATTAATATAAATAATTCCCACCCCAGAAATAATTTTGCTCTAATTTACCATGAGAATGTAAAAGATTTGTGTACCACTTTCAAGAAACTTATAATAGTTATCTCCTTTTTTAACGTTACAAGGTACAAAAAATTATGGTATTATTAAACCTAAATATTGCTTACTACACCAAAATTTTTCCAAATGAAATTATGAATTAGTATTAATGGATTAATATGAATAATTCCCACCTCAGAAATAATTTTGTTCTAATTTACCATGAGAAAGTAAAAGATTTATCACTTTCAAGAAACTTGTAATAGTTATTTCTTTTTCTAGCGTTACAAGGTACAAAGAATTATGGCATCGTTAAACATAAATATCGCCTAATTGTCCTAGGCGTTAATTACATAGGAAAGAACATCTTCAAATGACGGAGAATTATAGTTATTGGCACAAATCGTTGAAAATTGGCCGCTGTTTGAATACAATGAACAACGCATAATGGTTCCTTGGGCTTGCACACAATTTCACTTAATTCACCTGATTGCAACCTTTCTCTTTACGTAATTTACGATGTGCTCGATGAAACGCATTTCTCGCGACCCCGTTGGACGATTTACATTTCTGCCAAGCCTGTCCCGCTATTGAAAAATTGTGAAAGCTCGTATTTTAGCCCCATGATCAGGTATTTCCAGAAAATGCAGCTGAAATATTTTTCTTGCACTATCATTCTGTATCATTGTGACAGAGCAGCTTGTATAACTCTCGGATTAGAAAGGTATTTTTCATTTTTCGTACCCTGAGTTTTACACAGAGTTATTTTAATTCTCCTGAAATAAAATAAGAAATACGAATTTTTATAATTACGGAAAAATTTAGAACACAGAATTCGAGAAAATTAATGTTTTTCGATGCATAAAACGCCTTCAACTATGAAAAACAAAATCACAAGAAAATCCTTTGATAATTATAAAAATATTATTTGTTTCGTTAAATTTTATAAAACTCAGAAAATATCTGAAAATGGATTTAACCGTATAGGTTATGAGTCGCTCAGAAGCCATTGCGGTTAAGTTCATTTTCAGATATTTTCTTAGTTTTGTAAATTTTAGTGGAATAAATAATATCCTTTTTGGTTATCAAAGGATTTACTCGTTACTTTGATTTTTTTACTTTTCGAAAAATATTAATTTTCTCAATTTCCGTTTTCTGCACTTAACCTCATTGTGTTCTAAGCGATTTATAACCTATGCGGTTAAGTCCATTTTCAGATATTTTCTGAGTTTTGTAAATTCTAATGTAACAAATAATATTCCTTTTTAGTTATTAAAGGATTTATTTCGTTACTTCGATATTTTTACGTTTTGAAAAACATTAATTTTCTCAATTTCTGTGTTCTGCACTTAACCACATTGGCTTCTAAGCAATTCATACATAATAGGCAATTTTATGGTATTAACAATTTTAATATAGTATTAACCAAAATCCATGGAAGCTGAGTAAATAATTAAACAGCACACTTGAAAAATTAATTTAAGTTATCGACAATTGGATGCCAGCAAAGAGCGTGTCTCTCCTGTCGCACCGCAAAGTGATGCAACCATAAGAGACACTTACCTGTAACACGTTACTTGCATATTTGCCTGAATTTCATAATAAAGCAGTCACTGCCAATTCCACCAAAGAGTGGAAGAACAAACCAGTTCCAGTGCGGCATGCCTAAACCTTATTACCCCGAGGCACAGGCACTGAGACACCTTTCTCACGATCATCCAAACCTACATCTCCAACGTTGCATCCTTGAAGGTCCCAAAAATCCCAAAGTCCCAAAATTCAAAAAAATCAAATTACCAAGAGGTTGTTAATCAACCTACCTGACACTTGGATATTATATATTACATATCTGCAGATCGTTTCCACTCCACTTCCAACGATTAGAATTCCAGAGACCCCAGCCATCTCTCCTTCAGCGCTCTCCCACCACAGCCATGTGAATACTTAAAACAATATTTCCATAATACTCAGTGGAAAGGTGAACGAACGTGGTATCAAGCTGGTATCGAGTTAAGTAGACCAAGCGAAAAAATCACGGTCCCGAGTGTCTAGAGGACGAAGCATACCGTTCCATCTGCCAGACAGAGGGAGCTCAATTAGCCATCGATCAGAGACATGACCGTGACGTATTCGTTCTGACCGGTTCACAATGCTGATCGTGAGTAGCGAGATCCCGAGTGGTATTCGTCGGCTTTCACTAGCCATGCCGGGAGATCTGGTTCCCCCTACGGGAGCCATTGCTCCAAGTAGCGATGACTGTTGCGTAAGGCCAGTTAAGCCTCCAGGGTCTAACCGTGCTTCGTGCATATGTCCAACAAATGTATTCGCATAGACATAAGTACTTCTCTCGTGCAACATTTTTAACGCACCTCTCGTTGACGTTAATGCGTTTCTGAGTTGTACAAACGAATGGCTGATGAGCGCAGAGATGTGACTATAAGATGGAACGTACCCGGACACGAAATGCGCATTGTGGGTGCACACTTGGCTGGAGTCGAGAGTTGCGTGGTTACACGGGAAGAGTATTTATAGGGACACGATTCTTCTGATGTTTGCTTGAAATTTAATTTTAATTCGAGGAGTGGATGGCTGTTGGGTGGGTATGAGTGAGTGCTGTTAGTCTGACAAGGAGAGTGCAAGTCCTTCGGATCACCGATTTAGTTGAAACTTTGCAGGTTTGTAGATATCGTCATGCAGTTTAAGAAAATATATCATTATAGCGGCAACTACTCAATAATTTTAAAAGGAATATTTCCTTTTCACAAACAAGCTCTGCTATCACTAATAAAAGGTGGAAAAACAATGGCTCATAACTTACACTATTTAATTACAATTAAAGGTTATGTTAATAAAAATACTTACATTCTTTTCGTGATGCAGGCACACTTGCATGGACACAACAATGCTTCCGGCGTTTGTTTGCAATTTTTTCTCATTTCCTATGCATTCTCCTGTTCACTTGGAAAAGAATTAACAAATCACTTAATTTCTGTGATTAATTTATGAAATTTTATAATTGCGTTGTAAAGGCGTACCTTTGCATATTCGTCGTCTGCCAGGTAAAGAAATGAATACTCATTGTCTAATTAAAAGCGCTGTTTGGGCTGAATTTATTAAAGAATGTAGAAAACTTTATGATTTGATTAATTAAAATATATTAAAATATATTAGGAACACATAACCAGAGTTAGTAAACTAACATCAGAGTTATCAATGTTCTCGTTGCTGAACTCGAGCTTCGAGTCTAAAATCATAGATGACTCTGATATCAGTTTACTAACTCTGGTTATGTGCTCCGAATATATTTTAATAAATCAAATCAGCAGTGGAAAATTCACTAATTACTCAATATTTGTGATTAATTTATGAACTTTTATAATACCATCGTAAAGCCAGATCCTTCACGAACTTTCACATATATTTTTCGATAGAAATTTGTCCCTAATTAATTAATTATTAATTATTGTTGTACGGAGTGTTTCAATTGTTCTCGAAGACGCCATTGATTTTACATTAATTACTATCCTTTACGCAATTAATTTATGAAACTTTATGCACTCATTATAAAAACAATGTTCTTGCGAATTTTTTCATGTAACTTTAGATCACATTTTGATTCCAGTTTCGTTTAGTATTAAATATTTTCGCGAAAGATCGTGATGGCCGCCGTTACGAAATCATAGACGCCATCAAACAAAAATTACTAACTAACAATTTAGAGTTAAATTCTTTACGAAAATTATATAAGAATGTAGCCTGGAGTTCCAGCTTTGCAATAAAATTATAAAAGTTCATAAATTAATTACAGAAATTGAGTAATTTATTAATTTTTCACTATCGGAGCCCTTCTATCCTTTTCTATCGCCTTTCTGTCTTTGCCTGCCTCGTGACGAGCTCTTCAACGACCTCCTCGCTAATTCTATGTTCCTATACTTTCTTGATTTTTGAGTTCGAATCATGAATGGCGCCGATCGCAGGCGGTAAAATTTTTAGTTATTCGGCAGTAGAAAAATAATAAATTCCCAAGTCTTTCTAATTAATTCATGAACATTTATAGCTGCACAGCAAAGTTGGAATTATAGGCAACATTTATACACAATATTTAATTTAATAATTAGTACTTACATGAGCGATAGGTTTTGTATTTCCTATAGTAAATAAGATTGCTATAGAAAAATGTTTTTCTTGCATAATATTCTTATTATTTTGTAATAAATATATACTTGCATAAGAAAGCGTAAAAAATAAATTATTTTATTAAGAAATTTTATTTACAATTTTTTCATACATGAAAAATGAACACAAAATTAAAAATAGATTAAAAAACTACCAACTATGGGACTGGAATCAAACAACGGTCCTTCAGCACAAGAATTTTCGATTATCGCTGTTAGGCCACGATAGCACTTGTAAAATGCTGGAAATAAATCTGCAATTAAGGAAGTGATGAAATTTTAATTGTAAATATATCAAAAACTATTAAGTAGTTGCCGCTATAATGATATATTTTCTTAAAATGCGTGACGATATCTACAAACCTGCTAAGTTTCAACTAAATCGGTGACCCGAAGC